GACAAAATTAGAATGAAACTACACTGAACTAGGTTTAAAAAGGCATCTTTTAAGTGGAAAAGAGAAATGGAAAATATGATAATCAGTAAATTCTTAAACCCCTCCTCAGTATCATTATTTATCTACTCATTTTCACTCCTGTCCTGGAGCTTCCCTAAAGGAGATAACTCTGACATCAGTTGTGATACAAGCCTAAGGTACATTTAAAATACATGAATAAATAAACTGATTTTAGTGTTCCTAAATAGCATTGCTATTGCTACCATTTATTTTATTGCCATTTTCTATCATTTAACTATTATAAAAGCCCCAAAGTAACATAAATGTCATTATAATAGAAAGGCAATTAAACTAGAAAGTAAAATCATAAGGGAATAAATATGCAGAGCCATGCCAACTTGTAGATTATGATCATTCATATTATCTCGTTGAGAAGATGCAAATACCTTTTTCATCCACTATGGCAAAACATGGCATTATTTTATTGAATAAACAATTGAATGATCCCAATAAAATATTTTTAAAACCGTGAATATTTGAAGCTAGGTTTAAATCAATCTTCTACTTTAGAAAAAAGATTGCCCCCTAGTGAGTAGAAAAGTTAATGCAGGCTCCGAGGTTTTCAACAGAAAGAGCCAGGAAATAAGCCTGGGTTCTGAAAAAACGCACAGGCACACACAAAAACAGCTGGGTCACTTAGGTAATCCTGTCTTATCTTCGGGTCTTGCCAAATCTTGCCCCTTTCATATAAAGCCATAGATTTTGTGGTAATAGGGGAATGTGTGCTTTTACAAACCAAAAGGAAATTGGCGTTACTTAGGGTTGGTTCTCAGCCATGAGGGATCGACCACACCCAGATCCAGGTTTATGCTGCTTTATCCTGCAGTGTGCAAGGAAAGAGCTACTGGGTGAAGGAACACACACACACACACACACACACACACACACACACACACACACACACACACACACACACACCCAACATGGCGGTCGACAGCTCAGGAATTTTCCAATCAAATCTTCAATGTGTAAATTCATCCACCTTCCATTTCATTTTCTGTCATTCAGATTTAACTTAAAATTTCTCTTTGAAATCTACTATTAGATAGTCACGGAACTATTTGGATCCTAAATTATAAAGAAGAAGACTGTTTTATTGTATGACTTGGCATTATGGCATTGAGAGGACATTTCTAAATATAAATGCAATGTAACTGTAACTTCTTGAAGCATTTCTACTGCCATTGAGTGATTTGAGGTTAGTTATATTGTGCCAAATGATCATATGCTCATTTCACAATCTGTCCATTAGCAATTAAAAACCGAAGGTAATAAAAACTCTAATGCAACAAAATTGTCATGACTCAGTGAAAAGGCAATTGTTCTAACAATAAATCACTTCCCTCTCCCTTAATGTAATTTAGTACACTATGTAAGTCATATTGTAAAACCACTCTGAATTTTGTCTGCAAAGTTTTGGGTTTTTAATATCACAGATTATCTAATCTGAACCATCACTTAGCACTATAATTTCTTTCATGGAATTGCAACATGCAGAGACAAACACCAGCAAATCTGTTCCCCTATATTCTTACAGGGCTGCCGGCTTGGTCACGCCATTTCCTCTCGTTCCCTCCTCGTCCCAGCTACTCACCATATATTACGGGGATCTATACCATTAATTGACAAGCTTCCTTTATTTCCCCTCCGTCTTATCCTGAAATGCTGATCAGACCATCAGCTTTTTACCTCGTTATTTGCATACTCATTTAGACGAGGCCTACTCATTATAGAAGAGAGAATAGGCAATATTTGTACTTATATATGATCATGCTGAATACAATAATTGTTTAATGAATCAAGAAAAAATTCATTTTGGTGATTATGTTTTGTAATCGGAATGATTTCAATGGCTAGCACTGTAACATTGTAGAGGTCCTGCTTCTTTTCATGATTTGCTAATGAAGCTTTGCATTTGTCCTATTTAGGGTGAGTTTTTTTTTCCCTGCATGGCAGCTACCATTTCATCATTCCTGTTTCTGTGCAGAATAGAGACCTTATCAAAACCCAGCAATTCAAAGAATAGTTCTTTTTCGAGGGGAAGGCAGAGAGATGAAGAAAGTTAAAAATTTGCATAGAACTATTCTGAAATGTTTATAAATATAATCCCATGTGGAGGATCGTGGCATTTCAGTGACATAGATGGTTAAATTTCATCCTCAGTATCTACCAGAGCTTCTCTATGGGGAATTTTCTAGCCATGGCTGGCACACACCCTGCCCTTAGTAAGCACCTGCAGCCACGCGAACGTCCATAATCCTGGCTAGAAGGAAAAATGAATTTGCTTTATAACTTAAGTGAACAATCCTGGTGGGGATTAGAAGGAAAAAAAAGTGGGTGCAAGGGTTAACTTTTAACTCAAAGCAGTCCATGGCTTTTCGTTTCCTCCCTCCTTCCTTCCTTCCTTTCTTTCTTTCTTTTCTTTCTCTCTGTCTCTGTCTCTCTCTTTGAGAAAATGAGAACAAATAAAGCTGTGTCACGGAATCACAGTGATTTGACATAGTAACAATGCTGGTGCTGCTGAGTTTGTAGCCGCCCTTCTGCAGCAGAAATCTGGGTGCAGACCGCAGACCGCGGAGCGAGGCTGCCCCCACGGGCCCCTCTCGCCCCATTTAGAGCCTTTCTGGACGTGAACCGCGAATCGCGGCCAGCCGGGCTAGCTCAGGACACTGCGCAGAAATCCGGCTCCCCCGCTGCGCCCGCGGGGGCGAGCGCCCGGCCCTCCCCTCGGGAAGGGTGCGGGGCGGGGGGGGGGGGGGAGCGCAGGGCGCGGCGCGAGGCTCTGCAGGGCTGGCTGCGCTCCACGCGCCCGCTCCGTCGCCGCGTGCGCCCCCGCCCGGCCAGCGGCCGACGGCTCCCCGCCCTGGGCAGGGAGGGGTGGGCTGAGCCGCGCCCCGCTGGTGGACAGAGGGGTCTCTCCAGAAACCGCCCTTTGGGGCTTGCCACCTAGGAAATGGGAAAAACGGGAGCGAAGAGAGGATGGGATTGAGGGCATGGGGAAAATGTCACTGAGTTCTGCGGACTGTGGAGGTCGGCGAGAAAAGCAAGCTTTCCAGGCGCCCCTCCCCAGGGAAGGGGGGGGGTCACCTCTGTGGTCCAGCGGCCGTGGAGGGGTGGGGCTGCGCCTTTGTGTGGCCAGGCGGGGCCCCGCGAGCTGGCTGGCTTCGGCTGGGCGGGGCCGGCGCTGGAGCGGAGCGCCCAGCCAGGTGTCTGCACACCTTCCTTCAGGGGTGCCAGAGGCTGCTCTGCACAGCGGGGCTCCTGCTCCTCCCTAAACCCCTCCTCCCCCTTGCCAGCAGGCCAGGCTGCGTCCTGCACGAGGTGTCCCCGGCTCCGCCAGAAGGGTGGGGCAGGGCGGAGCCGGTCCGACTCTCCTTTCCCCGCAGCTTCCTCCCCTCCCCCCATGGCCCGCATCCCGCAGCGGGGGTCTGGAGGAAGGGGTGCGTCCAGCCGCCACGGGACGCGGTCCCCTCTCCACTTCCCTGCGTGTCCACCTCTGGGCCAGAGGGCCCGGCCCACTCGGCACTCGTGGCGCAAGACTGGTTAGGCAAGGGAGGAAGGCCTTGTATCCAGAATCTCGTTCCAATTCTCTCAGATAGGTTAAGCCTAGGAGATGGCCAGAATCTGACCTACAAAATAGCAATTGCATGTGCCTCAATTTAAGCCCTTGACCTCTTTTGCGTTCTATTACGTTTGCCATTTTTCTCTGTTCGCCAATTTTCTCTGTCTTATTGCATCTACGCAAATCTAGAATCCAGGTTTTGCCCCAAACGATCCAAGGAGTTAAAAAATAACAACAACAAAAACCCTTTATCGGTGATTATGTCCAAATCCTAATTTAACGTGGTTCTGAAAAGAAGGGTTAGTTCCCACTCCTCCCCCTCCCCTCCCCCCCATGAAGCCAGGGTGGTGGTGGGGGTGGGGGTGGGGTGGGGTTAGTGGTGAGGTCTCTTTGGGAAGCTGAAACCAAGAGTCAGGGGCTCGGGGTGCGGGGTGTGGCGCCGCGGTCCCCGCGCGCGGCTGGGCTCACACCACGTCCCGGTTTCCATTGAAGATGCCGAGGCGCCAGCGCGCAGGGTGGGGCCGTCCGCATTGTGGGCTCCGCGCTGCAGGTGCCCCCGTAGCCCCAGCCACCCCCACCCCCCGCCAGTCCGCACACAAAGAAACCCCACCCCGGCGCCCGCCGAGCCAGGTCCCTCTACCCCACCCCACTGCGAGATTCCCCGCCCCTGCAGCTGCCCACCCGCGCCCTCCACGCCCTCCCTGACTTCCTCTCTCCTTCCCCCCCCCTTCCCTAAAACAAAGGAGCCGAGGTGCTTACCCCCCCCCCCCCCCGTCCTCCTCCTCCTCCCCGCACCGCGCCCCAGGACTAGCGGTTTTCCCAAGGAGACAATACCATAAAATGCGCCCGAGTCCCCCGCCGCCGTCCCCACCCATCTTTCAAACAGCATCCAGGGGACCACTTTGACTGTGCATTTTTCCCCCCTTTCTCCAACCTCTCTCAATCCCATTCCCCATTTTCTTTCTTTCTTTAAACTACAGAAGAACTGCAGGACGTTACAAAGCACTTTCTGAAATGTTCCTTAACCCCACGGAAGGCAGTGAAGGCAGCATGTAAAGATATTAAAGCTTCCGATTGAGCTTGAACGTAACCTATGGAAACGCAATACATTCCCTGTCCACGGGGAAGGGCCACCACTTACCTGCTTTGATCTCTAAAAGAAAAAGAAATTCAATTTAGATTTCCAAGGAGCCTTTTTTTTTTTTCTGCCCTCCTTCCATCCCCCCCCCCCTTCCTCCTAATCGTCCTAAATCCTGTGCTACATCCACGTTCTTTTCTTTATAAAAGACCCCCGAATGCCTTCAAAGGTCTGAGAGGTTGAAAGGTAGGCTCGGGGTCGAGCCCAGGAAGAACGAACGAGGCTCCATGCCTTCCTTACCCATTGCTGTTTTAGCCATTGTAGCGGGCGTGCGGATGCCGAGCGGTGGCGTAGGCGAAGAAGGGTCCGGCTTCAGCAGCGGAGAGAGCGCGAGAGGAGACTGAATAAGGCACTGAGTCTGCAGAGTGGGACCGTGCTAGAGAAAGAGCAAGAGGCAGGAGCCCATGAATAATTATCACTCAGAAGCTCAAGCAGATTGGCTCCCAAGGTCCCCTGACACGACTCCCGCAGAGTCAGAATCTCCAAGCATTAAATATTGATCGGCCAATGGTGCTAGAGTACAAAGTACCAGCATGCAGTTTGAAATGGAAATCAGTCCTTCCCTCGCAGCTCCCCCTATTCTGGGGGCCTTGATAGTACAGTCCAAGTACAGTGGAGCCTTATAGCCTCCAAGCCTCCCAGGAGCCAGGAACTGGGCTGTGTCTACCTGTGTGTCAGGAGGCTTGATTCTGCTCACACGTTTCCTTGCACAAATAGGCATAAAGAAAGGGATAGGAATCCAGAGGCCGGCGAAGTCCTCACAATACACAGGCTGGTGGGAAAAAAATAGCTTAAATATTGTTCATGACTTTTCCCCCTCCCTCTTGATGTTTTCTCTTTCACCTCTGGCGCTGTCCTTGGTCTCGCAGGAGACCCCAGGTCTGGCTGGAGTGGCAGTTCAGAGCCAACTTGCACTCTTGTTCTGTACTTTCTAGCTCAAGCAAGATTTAAGGAATCCCTGAACTCATGAGTGTCTCTCAGAAGAAGAACCTTAGAAAAGGGAGGCCTACTGTTTCTCCCTTTGGCGCAGAGAAAGGGGCTGCTGATTGCTTGGGAATAGGGACAATAATTATGGTTCTCCTGGGGACCTGGTAGGTGAAAGTAAGCCTTTAGCCTCTTGTATCCCAGGCCTGTCCATCTGGTAACAGGGCATTGGGGGAGCCACACAGGTGGATGCCCTGGCGCTCGGGAGGTGCTGCCTTACACGGATTGAAACTCCAGTCACCTTCCCAGGGCTCTAAGGGGAACTATATAGAGGTGAAGCCATGGTCTAGGACATGATTTTTCTGAGACCCAGAGAGACTGCATTGATTTATGTCAAGAAAATAATATGTTCAAATTTCAGATTAAGCAGTGTGGTACCTGAGGATCTTTGAGACCAGCTGTAAAAAGTGACTTTCATTACAGAAAGTCCATCCCTTTACATTTAATGAAATGCCAGGCATTAATTCATTTTTCGCTCATTTAATTATTTATTGAGCATTTATCATGCTCAGCACGGAGGATACAGCAAGGGTCTATTTTAGGACTTGCTCTCCTAGAAGTTTTAATCCCTGTTAATTTAACTCTCTGTAATCTTTTTGGATCAGTCTAAACCCATGCAGAAATTATGGTTTTGATTATTAAAAATAGGTAAAGGAGTGCTCATTATGCCTTTAACTGAAAGAGCAGTACATGTTTCAATCACCAACATATGTGAAACACTGTTAAAGTTTCATGTTATTCATAATTAAGATTTTCCTCATTAAGGAAGTAAGTTTTTTCTTAGCAGCTTTCTATCAAATCACATTTCAAAATTTCTTCTGTATTTTTTTCTGTGTAGTTTAGGCTTGCTTCAAAGGTATGATCCTCCTATCTCAGCCTGCTCAGTCCTGTTATTACAGGAATGTACCACCATATCAAAATCAAATCAAAATTAAATCAAATAAAAATTTCACTTTAGCATTATGCACAATCTATGCTTTCAAACATAATTGAAAGCAACAGAGCTCTCTCCTTGGTGCTGAAATAAGCCTATTAATTTGTAAAGATGGTTTTAATGCCATGGGCATCTTGCTAAATGATGAGAACCTACTGGAATGGGAGCAAGTCTGACCTGCTGAATCATAGGCAAAATAAAAAAAAATTTGAAGTGGAGATCAATAAAATTATTTCTTGAGCAGGAATATTAGAAATTATTGTTCCTGTCATTGTAGAGGTCTGGGACTATGACACAGCAAGAGAACAATATGGAAATTGGCAAGGTCTAGAAACAAATAACCATTTTCTCCTTTCTCTGTAGTCATTTCCCAATATAAGGTGAGAGCTAATTCCCTCCCAGTCATGAGATGAAGGAACTTCAGTAGGTCTGGGTGACTAATATCTTTCAAGAATTCCTTTTCTCCCCACAATACCCTTCTTCCTCAGGCTGCATATCACCTATATACATTTGTCAGCTGCATTGGAGAACAGACTCCTAAGTCATGACATTTGTGTCTTTAGCAACTGCAATTGGCAAGTCAACGAGATGCATTGTGCTTCTGATTGCTGTGAGGGAAACAGAACAAAACACTTATCCTACTGTCCTAATTTTTTATTTTCTGGTGAGTATTACTGATGCATAAAAATCTGAGAAGGCCAATATACACAGGGACAAATAGCATATGTCTGGCTTTTATTTTTCAGTTTCTGGGTACTAGCCTCCTAATTTTATAATTTTGATATTATTTTATTATAAAACAGGGATTAGGTGGGCTAATATGACTTACTGTAGAATATAAAGATAAAAAACATCAAATGGCTAGGAAAAACTAAAAGGACTGGATATTATTAATTATTTGTTAAAAATTTCTTTTAACATTATAATATACTGTTATGTATTTTGTTTTAGGAAAATAATGAGAGACTGGAAACAGAGAAATCATTTCACAATACTTTGGTCACTTATTTGTTTCTTCAGCCAACAAGTATTTATTTCTTGAAGTGTGAGGCTTATATATTATGAAGCTAGCCAAGTTTCTTCCTGTTGTCTAAAAATGAAGAAAAAACAACCCATATTTTCTTTTTTTCTTTTTTTATTGTGAAAATACTGTACAGAGGGGTTACAATTAGATGGGCAAGATAATGAGTAGATTTCTTATCAAGCCTCCTCCTTTGTTTCCACTTCCCATCCCTTCCCAGCCTCCCCCCCATCCAATCCTCCTCCCCACCCACCAAAGTTGTAAAGTTAGTTTTCGACATAACGACTTGTACATCTCATTGTTGCAATGGGTCCACCTGTATCCCTATTTAAACGATTTGTTTTTTCCCTTCCCCTCCACAAATTATACCAATATCAAATACAGTGAAAGCAGGGGTTATACCGTGGGGGAGGGACATACAAAGCAACAAAGAAATAATCTTATAAATGCGTTAGAAACAAATGCATGAAAGAAAAAAAAATTTGAATATACATCTTAGGGTTCATTTTCCTAACATCACCTTATCTGACCTTTTCTGCTTGACTCATACATATACTATACATTGCAAATAAGGGAAACCATGGGACCTATGTTTCTTTGGGCCTGGCTTACTTCACTTAATATAATTTTTTCCAAGTCTTTCCATTTCCTAACAAATGGGGCAATGTCATTCTTTCTGATGGAGGCATAGAATTCCATTGTGTATATATATCACATTTTCTTGATCCATTCATCTACTGAGGGGCATCTGGGTTGGTTCCATATCTTAGCTATAGTAAATAATGCTGTAATGAACATAATTGTGCTGGTAGCTTTACTGTGGTCTTGTTTGTAAACATTTGGGTAAATGCCCAAAAGTGGGATTGCTGGGTCATAGGGGAGCTCTATGTGGAGTCTTTTGAGGAACCTCCATACTGCTTTCCAAAGTGGTTGAACAAGTTTATACTCCCACCAACAATGAAGTAAGGTTCCCTTCTGTCCACATTCCCTCCAGCATCTGAACAACCCATATTTTCTTACAAAGCTGTTAACTTCAGAAGAAGATATCACATTTTAGTTAGAGGACTTTTGTTTGCAAATAACAGGAAAAGCAAAATTGGCTGTGAAAGCAAAAGATTATTTGGTAGCTCATCTCACTAAAAAGAGAAGAGATTCCAGTCAGTTTTCCCTGAAAAATTTTTTTAATGGTATCAGTGAACACCCAAATTATAGATCCTCAGGAAATCCAGTATACAATAAGGGCAATAGGACCTATCTTGTAGGATGTGGGTTGACCAATCTGTTATCATATATAAACGGCTGTGGATAATTAATAAATTGATGGTTTGGTATCTTTGTTGATGACTACCAATACAAGTAAAACTTTTCAGAGTAAGGTCAGAGCCAGGCATCAGTGGCTCACACCTCTAATCTTAGGTACTCAGGGATCTCAGATCTGAGGATCACAGTTTGAGGCCAGAACCGGAAGGAAGTTCCTGAGATTCTATCTCCAATTAATCACAGAAAAAGGAGGAAGTGGCACTGTGGCTGAAGTGGTAGAGTGCTAGCCTGGAACAAAAGGAGCTCAGGGACAGCACTCATTCCCAGAGTTCAAGCCCCAGGGCTGGCCAAAAAAAAAAAAAAAAAGTCAGAGTAGTATACATCTTTATATCCTTTCTTTTTTAAAAAGTTTTTTTTTAATTATTAATAAGTTTTTTATTGTGAAAACCCGAACAGAGGGGTTACAATTACATGAGCAAGGTAAACGAGTACATTTCTTATCAAGCATTGTTGCCTCCTTTTTTGTTACCCCTTACCAACCATCCCTTCCCTCCCAGCACCCCTCCCTTCAAAGTTGTAAAGTTCTTTTTTTGACATAGCATCTTGTACATTTCATTGTTGCAATGAGTCCATCTGTATCCCTATTTAAACAATTTGTGTTTTCTCTTCCCCTTCCCAAATTATACCAACATCAAATGCAGTGAAAACAGGGGTTATATCATGGGGGAGGTACACACAAAGTAACAAAAAAAAATCACCTTATAAATATGTTAGAAACAATAGCAAGAAAGAAAACCATTTGAGTCCTTGTCTTGGGGTTCATTTTGCCTAATATCAACTTATCTGACCTTTTCTGCTTGTCTCAGACATATACTAGTTATTGCAAATAAGAGAAACTTATGGGACCTATGTTTCTTTGGGCCTGGCTTACTTCACTTAATATAATTTTTTCCAAGTCTTTCCATTTCCTAACAAATGGGACACTGTCATTCTTTCTGATGGAGGCATAGAATTCCATTGTGTATATATACCACATTTTCTTGATCCATTCATCTACTGAGGGGCATCTGGGTTGGTTCCATATCTTTGCTATGGTAAATAATGTTGTAATAAACATAGCTGTGCTGGTAGCTTTAGCATGGTCTTGTTTGTAAACATTTGGGTAAATGCCCAAAAGTGGGACCACTGGGTCATAGGGGAGCTCTATGTTGAGTCTTTTGAAGAACCTCCATACTACTT